TACCTTAATCTGGTTAGAACAGTCATTTTCAAATATCAAAGAGACCTTAATCGATTTCAAAGAAAAATGAAACATAACAAAATTTATGACTTGTTTTCTCACAAAATTTAAAAATATATTTGCTTAAGAATTGAATTACGAACTAAACTAAAATCGTACCAAGCTATCTATCTTATATTTGGTTTATGTTATTATTATTTTTCAAAACCAGACCAGAAAACCAACTAAAACCCGGATTGAACCACCAACATTTTGAAATATCTTTTTGGTTGTGTTGTTCCATGGAATTGAACTCTTTGAACATACAAAATGAATTTCTGTCCAAATATAGGGGAGAATAATATGAATTTGTGGTCGTAGTCAACAAAATGAATTTATGATTTATCCATAGTTCTGTCATTGGTTAATGCTTATAGTTTTATTGACCATATTGTTACCAATTGTGCAAGTAATTAATAGGTTTGACAGCATTGACTATATACTTTAACATTTTCACGAGAATTAAAAAACAAATTAATATATTTCTTCAGTTACTTTAAAATGAATGAAGAAATATATTTTATGCAGTAAAATATAATAGACGCACATTTATTTAGATTGTATATTCGAACCGTCGAAAAATTTAACCAAACAGTCTATTTCTTTAACATTTGTTTTTTTAGTTGAATAGTATACATTTACTAAAACAGTTGATGTGTTACGGTTTGATCTAACCTCGTTTGATTCGAAATGCTCATATATTTCAACCAACTAAAACAAGAAACGATAAAACCCTGAAATCAAATAAAGTGATAGACCCCATAGATACAATAAGAATATTCTACTATTTCTCTCATCTAACCCAAATTGCTTAGTTCTTCCACAAAAATCAAAATAAAAAAGATTAAACAACAATAACCAACTGTAGAAAGTAGTAACACAAAGCTGGTTTTACTTTAAAAAGTTTTTCAAAGAAATAATATAATAATAATATTTGCAAATTACCAAACTCACTTCAACGCAATAGAAGACGCCTTGCCTGAATAGGACTTGGTGGTGCATTTGGCTGAGT